ATTTTTTTTTTTTTTGAAAATTTTGGCCCGTTTGACCTTGAAATGAAGGTGAAGGCCAAGGGCATATTTGAAATCTCCACATATGACTTTCGGTCAGCCGTCTGTAGAATTTTTTCCCATAATTCCTTCGGTATGGTAGATAATTAGCATTTAATTTTGCAAATTTTGGACAAGGGTGCATTGCAATGAGCGCCACACCTAGACCCCAGCACCGACGAAGCCCAAATTTTACATGGAACGAGTTGAGATTGTTTGCGACCTAAATCCAAGAGATGGGTACGCAGGCCCTTGTAGTCTAGGAGAAGAAGCGGTAACGGTAACATGGCGGCGGAACAGACCGGACGGGACTAAAACCATGTGTACCGCCAGCGCATACGCTGGTGGTGCAATAACTCGAATTACCGTGTAGCTATTTAGTCCCCGGTCACTTTAATAGCACACGCACGTGCGAACGTGCGTGTGCCCCCGACAGTGTTAATGATAGGGGGATTACGATAGACAGCGCAAGTCGCTCACAGCGGGAGTCACTATCGCCGCTGTTAGGCCGGTAATTAGTCTTTAACTTGACTAAACATGTTTTGCTTTGTAACTTGCGTCCTTCAGTCTTGCTGTTGCGGAAGCGCCGGCGGGACATATCTCCACCTTGCCGATATTTATCCCGACTCGCGACTTGAAAAGTATTATTGGTCTTATTGTATCAGAAAACCTGCATATTTTCATACGTTAAGAGAATTATAGAAACTGTAGAAAAAGCTACTCGTACATCAGGGATAGAAAACAAGACCTTGCAGCACTATAATCTACATGTATTATTCATCACCAGAAGTTCCTGTTTCACTTTTTTTTCTCCCAAATTACAAAGTCTGATGACAACTGAAAGGTTTTAGCCATACCTCAGGGCAGTGAGAGATTGGATTTGATTAAAAGAAATAAAAATATATTTTGAAGAATTTTCCTAGCCTTCGGCAATTTCCGCAAAGCTTCGGCATGCCCGGCAATAGAGATCTGTCGACATCGGTGTGAAAGTATAATAGAATTGGTGGAATAACGGTTAACGTCGTTGCAAACGTTGCAACCTACCCGACGGGAGTTCGTACCCCAAAGGTACTTTTGAAATTTAGAAATCGTCATTATTATTGATATCTTTTAATATTAAAACAGTTGTGGCTAATTGTTTTTGCAACGAAAAGCAGAGTAGGGAGGTTTGTTGTAATTGTTAAAGTTATTATGACTGGGTACATAAATTAGTATGCTAATCGCTTATCAAGGTATAATGATTGATACGATGGGTATCAGATAGTTTTCATTTGATATAAACGACGAAAGAGCGGCCTTCCAAAGATCTTTGCTGAATGTTTATAACGTAGGTACTATTATGCGCATAAATATTGATACATGACGCAAACGACATTTACTAATTTCGGTAATATCAATTTTAATTAAAATTAAAAATAAATTTAATTAAAATAAAAATTAAATTTAATTGAAATTAAAATTTGTCTAAACGTGCATATTACCATACACCGTGTTTAAAGGGTTCTCAACACTTTACATCCTAATACAGCTTGTCAATTTTCATGTTTGCTAGTTTATTTTGATTTGAGAAAAATGAGAGAAGACCGACCCTCTACTAGGACCGCAAATTATATATGAGTATTTTTCTTCAGTGCAAGAGACTGTGTAATGAAAAATCAATCTGCAACTCTGGTATAGGGTGGCCTTATGTGTGTAATAATATACAAGTAGTGGCAGGGGTACAGTTTTATAGTACAATAAGTCATTTATACATCTATTGATCTCATCGTCGGGTCATTCTTTACAATAGCGCTTTGTCGCTGTGCGTACCTTTTTGCATTTGAGTTAGACTCAGTCAGTAACAGCTGGTGATTTTGTCTTTTTTTGCGTTTCATTGACAATATTTTGGCCACCTAAGTAGGGAAATGTGGCTCTTTGTTTGGAAATGACATTTCCATTGTTCCTTTGAACACGCAAAAGTTTTCACCAGGAAGCAGATAACACTTACGTCAACATTCTTACTTTGTAATAACCACCCAGGGAAAAAAACAAAAACCTCATTAGGTGTCGTCCTTCACACTGTAAAAGGTGTTAATTTCATGCTTCTATTGTTTGCCCATGAATCATTATGACGAAATTGTAGGGTTGCCAGGTCTCTCGCGCTTCATTCAATTCTCTTTATCTGCCCTGCAGCCTGGGATGAGTGATACTTGACTGACCTTTGTTTACATCTGGAGATTTTCTTTATAATTTGATTTATGTGCATATTATAACATATTTTCCATCTGGAAAAATACGTGATAATGTAACGATTCTTATTTTACGGATAGATAATTACAAAAATTAATTTCTGATATAATACCCCCTATTTCAGTGCCTATTCCTGACTGCGTTAATTATGGGGGATTGGAAAGTAATCCGTTAGGACGCGGATGTGATGATTGCTACTCTTACCAACGGTACTTCACCGATCAACTAAACTCAGCCACCTAAAGCAGAATCACCAACAAAAGACAAATTGGACTACATCTGCCCTGTTGATGAAACATCTTATGTAAAAAAGGCGATGACGGTCAAAACATACGTGCCTCGTGGTGTATTAAATGTTCATCGTATTTTTTCGTTCATTATTCTTATGAGTTAAGCAGCTTCACCTCCGTGACACCCTTTTTATTTATTTAAACCATTGTAATATAAACCAAGGGTTTCACTCCAGATTTCACGATCGAGCAAGTGATCATGAGGAGAGTGTAGCATGCTATAGTAAACTTCCCCAAATATACCCAACACCTCCAGGGTTTCACGAGAGAGGAGAGGAGAGAGTGTAGCAGACAACTTCGTTAATGGTCGTCATAATTGGTGGTTGCCTTGGGAAAATGAGTTACATGATTACATAATACAGATATGTGATAACATAAGATTAATACTAAACTTTTCCCTGAAACAAAATCCCCTATTTCAGCGCTTCTTCCTGACTGCGTTAATTACGGGGGATTAGAAAGTAATCTGTGAGGACGCAGGAGGGATGATTGCTACCCTTACCAACGGTAAATCACCGATTTACTTGACTCCGCTACTTGAGCAAAATCACCACGAAAAGACAAATTAGACTACGTTCGCCCTCTTATTAAAACAAAGAATGTAAAAATTTGATGTCGGTCAAAGAAGAGGCCTGTGCTTCATGGTTTATTAGATAGGCCATGGTTTATTAGATAGGTTTATTATTCATCGGATTTTAGTTCATTATTATAGCTTCACCTCGCGAAACCCCTTTTATATATATTTAAAACACAGCACCCCACGGGTTTCGCGATCATGAAGAAAGGGAGTGTAGCAAAGAACCTCATTAATGGTCGTAATAATTGGTGGTTGCATTGTAGGCCTAACCTTGTTCATTTTAGTCGACAGACTAGGCTAGAAGAAAGAACAGATCATTATCGCCTCTCTTTACTTAGGAACAATAACTGGCTAGTGGCAGCATTTATAAGTTCTTTTATTTAGAAACTCCCGATCCTTTGTCTGGGACTGCCGTTCAACGCCGTTTAAATGACGTTCGAGAAACGGCGATAACGACAGAGACGTCCTCGAACATTTTTGGACTCAGTGAAAAAAAAAATCCGTTAAGAAGTAGCCTTTTAATGTCCTGGCAAATAACTTTGCGATCGCTCAGAGAGTTCTAGAATGAATGACAAGAAACGACATTAGGGTTAATAATAGACTAAAACTATCAGAGTGTAGGCCTGTCTTACTTCTAAGACCATCTTGTGATACGAGTCATGCTACACTACAATAGAGGGGGTAGCAGTGGATGATTTAATACAGGGATACCATCGAAAGTTTATCAATAGAAAATCGTGATTCCCAAAATGTTTTTTTAATTCATTAAATATAAACGGTTTTTTATCGTGCAATGGGTCTGGCATAGTTGTATTGGCCTATCAGTTGGAAACACGTGGTTCGTCTACAATTGCAAATGGCGGAGGTGCCGTGGAAGTTATTGTCGTAAAATTAGCTGGATACGTGCACGTAAGAAAATTATTCATTTAATTTAGTTTTCAAGCGTCAGCTTAATCTGGTAAAATGCCGGACGAAAAAAATCATAGATAGAGCCTTATGGCCCACTGTATAAGGATGCCAAAAAATACATCAACGACGAAGTTTATCGGCAGATAAACGTGTTTCCATTCTCGGCTGACTGAGGAAAGGTTTGAGAGAACATTTAAAGAAGAGGCGGGCGAACCAATAGTGAGTAGGAAGTGTGCTGCAATCAAGACGAACAATACCGATCATAAGTGGACAGCTAATAACCCCTAATTAACCCCGGGTTACGCGCTGCTGTGTTGACTCCTTGCTGGGAAGGGGTAGCGGCCTCATACTGTTGTGCGTAGTCACACATTGTCTTCTAACATGCGGCTACACGTCGGTTGCATTGTATTAATAAAGTAATACCTATTCATAAGGAAGGGGGCGGATGGTAATCTGACGAGTATTAAATCAGTTATCGATTAAACGCGTACCAGTAGTCGTGTTTTTTAATAGCTACACGGTATATCCTCATGACACTGCTCTGAATTAAAACACAAACCTTCAACCAAATTTAACAAATATCAGTGAGATATCTAAATGACTGTTACACTATTTTTACATATTGAAATAACAATGGTTGATTGGACAAAAAAGTATGGCTGCAACAATTATCTGTTACTTTGGCAGTGTCAACTCCACATCAATGGTTACTCACCTGCACTGCCCTCTGCTACATCTACCGTGTCCAGTGCACATCCTCGGGCATTCATTCCCTATGTAGACATGAGCCAAGGCCCAGGTGTTCGTTACATCAAATCCTTCCTCCTGAACCCACCGCAACCTGGTGGAGCGAGATCTATAAGGAAGATAGGCCATTTGTTAAAGAATGCACATATCATCAGCCCCCCTCCCCACAATATTAATGAAGTGCAACACTCCAGTGATTTTATCTACGCACAATGGTGGTTTACCAGGGAAGAACCAATGATGTCTTCTGGGTCTTCCAGAAGACGGTCAGAATTTTTACAGTTTACACTGATGGGCATTTAACTTTTTCTGTCAGAAGACTGGTAAAAAATGGAGGATGGATCAACAAAGATAATTTGGAAGACTGTCAGAAAATATTTCTGGAGCTTCCCCTGTTATGTTACTTACCATATGTTTTTTGGTCAATTCTGATGCAATAATACATTATGCTTAACACCAAAATCAACACCAAATTATAATTATGAGAAACAGATGACATGGATATTGGGAAAATGTTACTAGCAAAATGCTTCAGGTCTATCAAAGTTCAAATTCACACTTTGAATGTGCCAGAATGAGAAAATTTCACAAAAATGCATAGTTTTTTTAAAGATAATAATAATAATAATAATAATAATAATAATAATAATCCAAACGAGCTAGTTTTTTAATTTGAGCTGTATGACAATCCTAAAAACGCTCTTGAAAGTTACAAAATAATAAGTCACATGGTTTTCCTTTCATATCTTTGTGGTGGCAGTGCACAAAATAGTTTTTGATGATATTACATAAAAACTAACAGTATAACCATTAAAAAATATCTATTCATAATGAGGACGTTCACGTAATACCACACCGCTTCTTACCTGTGGGAGTTTTAAGTCCAGCATTGAAAAAGCCAATATGTGAAAAATAAAAATTTTGCAAAAAAAGCAGAAACTTCCAGAAAAAATACAATCAGGCTGGTTTTCCAACTCAAGCTGTCTTTAAGTCCTTCGAATCTTTTCTATAAGTTTGAGAATCATAGGAATATGGTTTTCCTTTAATGGTCATTAGG